TATATCAGGTCAGATTTCTAGGCAATATAACAGCATTTGTTTACACAATAAACGTGATCTTCCAGTTGGCACCTACATTGTCAGCTGAATGCATTCCAACCCTCTAGCAAAATCACTCTCCGGACAACTGATACAACTGATTGATCACAGCACATCACAAGATATGGCTTCCTAAACCCTATCTCCACAATTTTTCGTCTCCTTCTCTACCTGCTACTCTGCTGTAATATTTGTGCTTTAAATTATGCAACTCCTCTCTTTTTCACCTGAGAGTCAAGGAGATACCATTGACTGTTCTTCGCTTCTTGCCTCAACGTTGCTTCCTAGCAGCTAAGATAGAGACATTTTTCCCCAGTTACTGACTCCATCCCTCTTCCTGGTGACAATATAATCTGATTGCGTGCAACCTCAGTGTTATATTTGACCCTGATCTGATCTTCTGACCTCATATTCCCAGCATCACTAAGTTGTTTATTTCCACCTAGAATCATAGGAACCCTACAGTGTGGAAGCAGGCCATTCAACCCATCGAGTCCATGTCAATCTTCCAAAGAGCATCCTACCCTATCCCTGTAACCCTGCATTCCCCATGGTTAGTCCACCTAGCTTGCACATCATGGGCAATTTAAACATGGTCAGAAATCACATGCCAACAGTTTTATTTGGAAACACAAACTTTCGGAGCAAAGCCACCTTCTCTGAGAGCTTGCGTTTTCAAATTAACCTGTTGGACTATGGGATTTCTGACCTTGTCCACCCCAGTCCCCTCCACGTCAATTTAAACATGGTCAATCCACCTCAGTTGCACATGTTTGGACTGTGGGAGGAAATCAGAGCATATGAAGGAAGCCCGCACAGACACAGCAACAATGTGCAAACTCTACACAGACAGTCACCTGAAGGTGGAATCAAACCTGGGTCCCTGGTGTTGTGAGCCAGCAGTGCTAACCACTGAGCCACCACACCACCCCGTTACCTCTGTAATGTAACATAACTTTGACCCTGGTCTCCATTCACTTGCTGTTGAAAGCCTCACGCCTGCTTTTGTTACTCCCAGATCTGACTATTCCAAACCTGCCCTGGCTGTGCACCCACACAGTGCCCTCTGTAAACTCAAGATACTGTGGATGTTCAAAGAGACTTGAAGTACAAGAATGCAGATGTTATTGCTGCAGTTATACAAAACCCCACTTGGAGTACTGTGAGCACATCTGGGCACAGGAAGGATAGATTGGCCTCAGAGGGAGTACAGTGTAGGTTCACAAGAACGATACCTGGGCTTCAGGAGCTAACCAATGAGGTGAGATTATTCAGATTAGGCTAATTTTCTCCAGGATTTAGAAGGTTAAAGGATGTTCTGATCAAAGTCTTTCATGATATTAACAAGGAAAGACGAGGTAGATAAAGATAAACCATTAGCATTGTCTGGAGATTCTAGAACGAGGGGGCATAGTCTGAGAATTAGGGCCAGTCCGTTCAGGAGAGATGTTAGAAAACATTTCTACAAACAAAGGGTGGTAAAGGTTTGGAATTCTCTTCCACAAGAGGCAGTTGATGCTGGATCAGTTGTTAATTTTAAATCTCATGTAGATACATTTTTGTTAAGCAAGGTTATTAAGGGTCATGGGCCAAAGGCAGGTAGATGGAGTTAAGCCACAGATCAGCCATGATCTCATTGAATGGGAGGAACAGGCTTGAAGGGCTGAATGGCCTACTCCTGTTCCTGTGTTTCTATGTAAGATCATCCAAACATCTTAGTCGCAGCAAGTCCTATTCCCTGTCTTAGATTGGATCCTGATAAAGCCATAACCTTAATTTAAAATTCCAATCATTGTCTTCAAATCCTTTCTCTTCATCCACCTTTTCCCACTGAATCCCATGCTTTCAAAGTGTATTTACAGTGAGAAATGTTTATCATAACAATGAAGATGATTGGGAGTTGAAGAGCATTTGAAGTAAATGGCGTAAATGGCATTGATACATATTAGGGGAAGGTAGATAGATCCACATGGGGAGCAAGGAACAGAGTTAGATGAAGGGGAGGCTGATGTCAAGAATAAATCCATTGGGATGAATGGCCTATTTCTGTGCTGTGTATTCTGTGTAATTCTGTATGACTATAATAAATCATCCATTGATCAATATGCGTGAGATCCCTGACGAGATCCCACTGTTTGTCTTCAATCTCATTATTCATTCAGTTGATGTGACCAAAAGTAAATGACTCACAACTCCCATCAGATTCTGCAGTTGCACAAGATCTTCACTAGTTATTTTAATAAGGTCTTAATAAGCAGAAAGGGACTGTAACTGGGACTTACTGAAGAAATTTTGGGTCTCACCTTTGCTGATGAGTGAGGAGATGTCCTCTCCCCGATCACACTAGAGAAGTTAAACATAGAAACACAGAAAATAGGTGTGGGAGTAGGCCATTCAGCCCTATGAGCCTACACCACCATTCAATATGATCATGGCTGATCATGCAATCTCAGTATCCCATTCCCACCCTCTCCCCATACCCCTTGGTTCCTTTAGCCATAAGGGCCACATCCAGCTCCCTCTTGAATATATCTAATGAACTGGCCCTAATAGCTTTCTGTGGGAGGGAATTCCACAGGTTCACAATTCTCTGAGTGAAGAAATTCTTCCTCATCTCAGTCCTTAATGGCTTATTCTTAGACTGTGACTCCTACTTCTGGACTTCCCCAACATCGGGGAACATTCTTCCTGCATCTAGCCTGTCCAGTCCCATCAAGATTTTCTATGTTTCTGTGAGATCCCACCCCCTCATTGTTCTAAATTCCAGTGAATATAAGCCCAGTCAGTCCAGTCTTTCCCCATATGTCAGCGTTGCTGTCCTGGGAATCAGACTGGTGAATGTTCGCTGGACTCCCTCAATAGCAAAATTGTTCTTCCTGTGACTAGGAACTAAAACTGCACACAATACTCAAGGTGTGGCCTCACCAAGGCCTTGTATAAATGACATCCCTACTCCAATACTCAAATCTTCTTGCTCTGAGGGCCAGCATGCCATTAGCTTTCCTCACTACCTGCTGCACCTGCATGCCAACCTTCAGCGACTATTCAACCAGGACACCCAGGTCTCGTTGCACCTCACCTTTTCCTAAATTGCCACCATCCAGATAATAATCTGCCTTCCTTTTTTTTGTGACCAAAGTGGATAACTTAAGATCCCATCGGAAAGACAGGAAGCATCTTATTGATAACACTTTTGCAACTTCAAATTATCTATCGTGCTTTCTATTTTGGCATTATCAGCAAATTTGGAAACTACTCCCGCCAGGCCTGTATTCAAATCATTGATCTACACAATGGTTTTGGAACGTAGCACCATGAGGAACAGTGGCCGTACAATGTCCTATATCTGCTTTATGTGTCAGGGCTGACCAAGACACATTGCTCACCCTAATTCCTCTCTTACTCTTAGCTCTTACTCTTCATTCTGTCCCTAGCCAATCAAATCCAATTTACTATCCTCCCTATTTTTCTCTCCTTTTTCCACATGAAATCTCTCATCCCATTCCCTCATGCCACACTTTCCCCAAGTCCAATTTAAAGGCCTCAGTCTCACTACTCAAATATCCATGTGTATGCTGTCAAGAAGCATTGGGAAAACTAGTGTCAAGAGGAATCAGACAGACAAACTCTCCAGTGGTTGGAGTCATACCTGGCACATAGGAAGCTGGTTGTGGTTGTTGGAGGTCAGTCATCTCAGCTCCAGGACATCTCTGCAGGAGTTCCTCAGGGTAGTATCCTAGGCCCAACCATCTTCAGCTGCTTTATCAATGACCTTCCCTCCATCATAAGGTCAGAAGTGGGGATGTTCACCGATGATTGCACAATGTTCAGTGGTCAGCATGTGCTCTTTGGACCGGAGGGTCTGTTTCTGTGCTGTATAACTCTATAACTCTATCTCCCACAAACTGCTACAGGAGACTGTTGTGTATGGTACCTTGTCTAAAACCTTCTGAAAGACCACTTCAATCTTCCACTGCTTCCATCAGATCTGCCCTAATTGTTTCTCTAATTATTTTTTCTCGTTTTTTTTTCCCTAGTTGCCTGGGGGTAAGGCTGATAATGATTTGCAGCAGGCTTGGCTTTATTGCAAACGCAACCATCTTTTCATAGAAGTCATAGAGAATAGCAGCAGAAGTAGGCCATTCAACCCTTCAAGACCAAAACTACACACAATACACCATGTGTGATCTTACATAGGTCCTATATACAGCTGCAGCCATGCCTCCCTGCTCCTGTACTCAAATCCGTTATGAAAGCCACTGTTCAAGTTACCTTCTTCACCACCTCCTGCACCTGAAATTCTTACTTTCGGTGACTGAACATGGCAAATACTAGCGATATCCTAGACTGAACTTGATGGGAGACTTCCAGAAAGTCGTTGTTCCCCAAGACATGATTCACTATTGCATTTACATATCCACATTAACCTTTATTTACTCTGTGATGTGGATAGAGTCATAGAATCAAACTGCAGAGAAACAGACCCTTCAGTCCGACCAGTCTATGCTAACCCTAATCCAAAACTAAACCAGTCCCACCTGCCTGCATTTGGCCCATATCCCTCCAAACATTTCCTATTCATGTACTTATCTAAATGTCTTTTAAACATTGTAACTGTACCTGCATCCACCACTTCCTCTGGAAGTTCATTCCACACACGAACCACTCTCTGTGTAAAAAAATTGTCCCTCATGTCTTTTTATTTAAATCTTTCTCCTCTCACCTTAAAAATATGCCCCCTAGTTTTGAACTCCCCCACCTTAGGGAAAAGACATTTGCTATTCCACTTATCTATGCCCCTTATGATTTTATGAACCTCTATAAGGTCACCCTTCAACCTCCTCTGGTCCAGTGAGGAAAGTCCCAGCCTATATTTCTTTTGGAACTGCGTCGACATGAATAATCTCTTTGACCTCACTGTTTCATTATTAATGGAAAGTTAATGTGTGTGTTGCTGGCAGGTGGTTTAGCAGCTGTGATCTACACGGACACATTGCAGACTATCATCATGGTGGTGGGGTCCTTCATTCTGATGGGTTTCGGTAAGTTGACTTCTTCACTCTCCATTATGTTGATGCATTGCCTCTTTCTGCAGCAGCTCCCTGCACTGAGGGACCATAAGCAGCTACGTTTAAGCTGACAAAAGGGGAAGCCAAATCTCAAGCGTTTGCTCAGAATTAAAGCTTTATAACAGAACATAGAAGAATTGAACAGGAATGTGGCTCTTTCCCCATTGGATATGCTGCCTTTTTCTCTTCATTCTCCCTTGGGAAGTGGGCAAGGCTAGCACCCTTCCCTAGTTATCCTTGGACTGAAAGGCTAGCTCGGGCATCTCACAGGGCAGATAAGAGTCAACCATGTTGCTGTGGTTCTGGAGTCACACATAGGCCAGGCCAGGTAAGGATGGCAGATTTCCCTCCTCAAAGGCCATGAGTGAACCAGATGGATTTTTAACAATAATTGATCACAGTTATCACTGTCACCATCATTGAAATTATACCAGATGTATTAAGTGAATTTAAATGCAGTCTTTGTAGTTCACTTTCCCCCAGTATTCAATATGTTTGCTCATTCTAAAAAGGATCTACTTAAGAAGGGTCCCGACCCGAAATGTCAACTTCCCTGCTCCTCTGATGCTGCCTGGCCTGCTGTGTTCCTCCAGCTCCACATTGTGTTATCTCTACATATGAAGGCAATATTAGTGTCCGTTCTAAACACAAAATCAAACAGAATTACCAGCAGTGGGCAGGGATTTTTGACTTTTCTATTTGTTCAATCCAGAAATGTCTCCAGGAGTCACCTCATCGCCCCTCTAAAGCAAGGTAAGCATCTCTTAGAGAATCATAGAATCCCTACAGTGTGGAAGCAGGCTACTCAGCCTGAGAAATCCACACCGACCCTCCAAGGAGCATCCCACCCAGACCCACCTCCTTCCCCTATCCCTGTAACCCTGCATTTCCCATGAGTAGTCCATTAAACATTTTGGCAGGAAGGTTAGAGGCATAAACTATTTTCCAAATGGGGAAAAGCTTTGGAAATCTAAAACACAAAGGGACTTAGGTGTCCTGGTTTAGGATTTTTTTCTTTATTCATTCATGGGATGAGGGTGTTGCTGGTTAGGCAGCATTTATTGCCCATCCCTATTTGCCCAGAGGGCAGTTAAGAGCCAACCACATTGCTGTGGGTCTGGAGTTGCATGTAGGCCAGATCAGGTAAGGATGGCAGTTTCCTTCCCTAAAGGACATTAGTGAACCAGATGGGTTTTTCCGACAATCGACCATGGATTCACGGTCATCATTAGACTCTTAATTCCAGATATTTATTGAATTCAAATTCCAACATCTGCCATTGTGGGATTCAAACTGGGTCCCCAGAAGGTTATTATTATGGATTATTGTTATATTATTATGGATTAACAGCCCAGTGATAATACCACAAGACCATTGCCTAGGGTTAAGGTTAACATTCAGGTTCAGTTAGTAGTTAGCATGGCAAATGCAATGTTAGAAATCACATGACACCAAGTTATAGTCCAATAGGTTTATTTGAAATCACAAGCTTTCAAAGTGTAGCCCCTTTGTTCACCTGATGAAGGAGCAGCACTTTGAAAGCTTCCGATTTCAAATAAACCTTTTGGACTATAACCTGATGTCGTGTGATTTCTGACCTTGTCCACCCTACATTAAATGCAATGTTAGCGTTCATTTCAAGAGGGCTGGAATACAAGAACGGAGATGTACTGCTGAGGCTGTATAAGGCTCTGGGCAGATGGTATTTGGAATATTGCGATTAATTTGGGGCCCTGTATCTAAGAGAAGATGTGCTGGTCTTGGAGGAGGTTTATAAGAATGATCCAGGGGATGAAGGGCTGGTCATATGAGGAGTGGTTGAGGACTCTGGGTCTGTACTTGATGGAGTTTAGAAGGATGAGGTTGGGGGCGGGGTGGCATCTGATTGAAACTTACAGGATACTGAGATGCCTAGATAGAGTGGATGTGGAGAAGATGTTTCCATGAGTAGGAGAGACTAGGACCTGAGGGCTTAACCTCTGAATGAGGGGATGACCCTTTAGAACTGAGATGAGGAGGAATTTCTTCAGGCAGAGGGTGGTGAATCTGTGGAACTCATCACTGCAGAAGACCGTGGAGGCCAAGTCATTAAGTGTGCTTAAGACAGAGATAGATAGGTTCTTGATTAGTAAGGGGTTCAAGAATTATGGGGAGAAGGCAGGAGAACAGGGTTGAGAAACATCAGTCATGTTAGGGTGACATGGTGGTTCAGTGGTTAGCACTGCTGCCTCACAGTGCCAGGGACCTGGGTTCAATTGCCAGCCTTTTGTGACCCTCTGTGAGGAGTTTGCACATTCTCCCCGTGTCTGCATGGGTTTCCTCTGGGTGCTCAGTCCAATGATGTGCAGGTTAGGTGCATTGGCAATTACTAAATTGCCCATAGTATCCTGCTTCTTCAAACCTATCAGAGTCATTTGAATAAGATATTAAGCCAAGTAGGCTTTGGCTCAGATGGGCATAAAACATACCATAGCATTATTTTGGAAAAAGGGGAGAGTCCCTTCTCATGTCCTGACCTAATTCTATCCATCAATTAACATTGATCAGACCTTTGAGTATAGGAGTTGGGAAGTCATGTTGAGGTTATCCACGACATTGGTGAGGCATCTTCTGGAACACAGTGTCCAGTTCTGGTCTCCCTGTTATAGGAAGGATATTATTAAATTGGAGAAGGTTCAGAAAAGATTTACCAGGATGTTGCTGGGAATGGAGGGTTTGAGTTATAAGGACGGGCTGGATAGGCTGGGACTTTTTTCACTGGAGCACAGGAGGCTGAGGGGTGACCTTGTAGAGGTTTATATAATCATGAGGGCTATAGATAATGTGAACTGCAGGTGTTTTTTTTCCCCTAGGACAGGGGATTTCAAGACTAGCAGGCATATCTTTAAAGTGAGAGGAGGAAGACTTGGGGCTTTCTTTTTTTGCATGGTTCTTATGTGGAATGAACTTCCAAAGGATGTGTTGGATGTGGGTACAGTTACAACATTTAAAAGACATTTAGAAAAGTACATGAATAAGAAATATTTGGAGTAACCCATGGGCCAAGTGCAGGCAAGTGGGACTAGTTTAGTTTGGGATTATGGTTGGCATGGACTGTTTAGATTGAAGGGTCTATTCCTGTGCTGGATGACTATATGACTCTATCTATACAACAAAGGGTAGCTACTTAATAGATTGTTGCTGTATGTGAGATATTTCCCTGCATAAATTGCTTGTTGTATTTCCTGACAAAGAAGCATTAGCTGTAAGAGATAGCAAGAACTGCCGATGCTGGAGTCAGAGATAACACAGTGTGGAGCTGGATGAACACAGCAGGCCAGGCAGCATCAGAGAAGCAGGAAAGCTGACGTTTTGGGGAGGGACCCTTCTTCAGAAGGGTCCTTTCCTGCTTCTCTGATGCTACCTGGCCTGCTGTGTTCCTCCAGCTCCACACTCAGCATTAGCTGTAAAGTGTTTTGGGACATCTTGAGATCACAACAGGCCCTTTATTAATATATCAGAATTCCAGGCCAATGTTCTGGAGATATGAGTTCAAATTCCACCATGGCAGATGTTGTGAATTCAATTTTTAAAAATCTGGAATGAAAGGGTCCTTACTCAATAAGATTATGGCCACTGTCATTGTACTTCACCTTCAATGAGTGACCATTCGTGTATCAGCAGTTAGTTCTGGGTGGTTTTGTAAGTTAGGAGGGTTCTCTTGGCTTCCACAAACCAGTTGATCAGGGGCTGGGGCTGGAGAAGGGGGTTTCTATCAGCTGTGATTTTAGAGAGTTGGCAATCACAATTACCCAACACAGGCAGCTGCTGATTTGAAGCAATTTTCTGATGGTTAATTGAATTTGTTAAGAAGTGACAGTTTAGATATGACGCATTAGTTAGTTAGATAAAGAAAGTGTGACAGATGGAGATGGCTCACTCATACCAGAGGGCAAACAGGCTAATGGCATGAATGTGTTGGTCTTGTTAAACGGGTGAGGATAGCATCCTGCTCTCTAACTGCAGTGTTGGAGAACTCTTTCCTGAGTTTCCTTCATATTCCAGGGATGCCAGGTGGGCTAGCCATAGGAAACGCAGGATTACACAGGAATACACAGGGTGGATGGGTCTGGTTGGGATGCTCTTCTTTTAGGGTCAGTGTGGACTCGATGGGCCAAATGGCCTGCTTCCACACTGTGGGGATCCTATGATTCTGGTCCATCTTCCGTCTGAGAAAACAGTGCTTCGAGAACATCCCGTCAAGAACTGTCAGTATTCCACAGTAAATACACAAAAAATTCAAGATAACAAGGTGTAGAGCTGGATGAACACAGCAGGCCAAGCAGCATCATAGGAGCAGGAAGGCTGACGCTTCAGGCCTAGACCCTTCATCAGAAATGGGGGAGGGGAAGGGGATTCTGAAATAAATAGGGAGAGAGTGGGAGGCGGATAGAAGAGGGATAGAGGAGAAGATAGGTGGAGAGGAAACAGACAGATTAAAGAGGCGGGGATGGAGCCAGTAAAGGTGAGTGTAGGTGAGGAGTTAGGGAGGGGATAGGTCAGTCCAGGGAGGACGGACAGGTCAA